TGGAAGAGGAGGAGGAGGACCAATGTTGTCAGAACTCTGGAAACAATCAAAAGTTTATAATAACCAAGTGAATCCTGAATCAAGAAAAAAGCAACTTTAAAGTGGCAGGAAAGCTCTGTGGCATTTTTACTTGTACAGGGGATCCTCAATAAGAATAGTTGATTTCTCGTCACAAATTAAATGAAGGCCAGAAGGATAGTGAAATAGCATATTTAAATTGCTGAAAGAAAACACTGTCATCCAAGAATTCTGTCTGGCAAAACTGTCCTTGTTACTACTAGACCTGCCTTCAGAATGAAAAGACACTAGACTCAAATCAGGATAAAGAAATAAAGATCTTCAATAAAGTCAACTACATAGACAAATATAAAAGCCAGTGTCATTGTGCTCTTGCTTTATCTCCATTTTTTAGTTTCTTCAGGACTTGAAAAACAAATGAATAAAAATTAGAAATTAGATATAAACTTACATTACTGAGCACACAATGTATAAAGATATAATTTGTGACAACAACAACATAAAGTGGATGAAGGAAGTGCTGTGTAGAAGTATTTATATATTTTTTGAGTTGGGATCTCACTCCATTGCCCAGGCTAGAGTGCAGAAACATGCTCACAGCTCAGCGTGGCCTCGACTTTCTGGGTTCAGACTATCAGAAGTAGAGCTTTAATATGCTATTGAACTTAAGATGGAATCAATTTAAACTAGATTGTTATATATTTAGTATGCTAAATCAAATCCTCATGGCAACAACAAAGAACAATATTTAAAAGGTGTACACAAAAGAAAATGAGAAGGATATGAAAATGATTCACTACAAAAAATCAACTGAACACCAAACAAATTAGATAGGTTAGAGGAAATGAACAAATTTCCAGAAACCCCAAACTTACCTAAACTATCTTAGGAAGCAAAAGAAAATCTCAAAAAACCTGTAACAAGATTGAATCAGTCATCAAAAACTGCCAAAAAAAAGTCAAGGAAGACACAGCTTCATAGGTGAACTCTATCAAACATTTAAAGAATTAACACTAATCCTTCACAAATTCTTTAAAAAAAAAAGAGAGGGAAGATTTCCTAATGAATTCTAAAAAGCCAGTATTATTACACTGATAGAATAGCCGCATAAAGACAAGAAAAAAAAATTACAGACCGACATCCCCTAGAAATACAGATGTAAAACTACACACACACACAAACACACACACACCAAATGTATCTTGCAAGAATTATACACCATGAGCAAGTAGAACTTATCCTGGAAATGCTAGGATGGTTCAAAACAAGAAAATTCATGTAATATACTACATCAATAAAGGACAAAAACCACACGATCATCTCAATTGATGCAGAAAAGGTAGCTGACAAAATCCAAGCCCCTTTCATGATAAACATACTCAGAAAACAAGGAATACAACAGAACTTTTTCAACATAATAAAGGGCATTTACATAAAATCCACAGCTTACATCATATTCATTGGTTAAAGAAAGAAAGCTTTCCAGCTAATATCAGGAACAAGACAAAAATACCCGTTTTCCCAATGCTATTCAGCACTGTAGTAAAAGTTATAGCCAAGCAATTAAACAAGAAAAACAAATAAAAGCATCCATTGCAAAAGAAGAAGTAAAACTATGTCTCCACACCGATGACATAACCCTAAATACAGAACATCATAAAAAATCTACAAAAAAAACCAATAGGAAATAAACTCTGCCAAGTTGCAGGGTATAAGATCAACACACAAAATTCATGTGTGTTTCTACATAGCTGCAAAGAACAATCTGAAGAGGAAACGAAGAAAGCAATTCTATTTATAGTAGCATCTAAAACAATAAGACAAATAAAAATAAAGTAACCAAGAAGGTACAAACCTTGTACACTAAAAACTACAAAATACTGCTGAAAGATATTAAGGCATTAATAAATGAAACAGTATCTAATGTTCATAGTTTGGGAGATTTTAGTTAAATGGCATTACCATCCAAAATTATCTACAGATTCAACATAATCTCTATCAAAAATTCCATCATCATTTTTGCAGAAATAAAAGCTGATCCTCAAAGTCACATGAAATTATAAGGGGAACTGAATAGCTAAAACAATTTTTAAAAGGAAGAACAAAGTCAGAAGACTCACAATTTTGAATCGCAAAACAGAGAGAGTTAAATACATCAAAACAATGTGGTCATGGCATATGTACAAAAAATGGAATACTGAGAGGCTAAAAATACACCATCTATGGCCAACTGATTTTTTGACAAGACAAACAATAGTAAAGCTGAGATGGGCAAAGACTGGGCTATTGGCAGGCTTAACAATGGTAAATTTTTTTTTTTAATAATAAAAAAGGAGAATTTTTTTGGTGAGAGTAGTATCTGAAGGTTTAATTTAGAAATCAATATTCTTAGTCACTTCCAAGTGACTAAAGAGATATTCTTGAAAAACATTTCAAAGATGCCAACCCTGAGTTAACCACCGAGAAGAAATAAATCTCTTGACGTTAATCGATGAGGTACACATTAACTCACCTAGAAAGCTCTGGGTTGGGAATTCTTCCAATATCCATGGTTCCTCTCCTTGCTCCAGCCTGAAGATCACCTCTGGTTTGGTAGCACAATATCCTGTTAATGGGAAATAATTTAGGACTTGGACAAAGCAGCCTAGGCTTACTGGCCTCTGAAGAACAGGGAAACTTCTCAGGCTACTGCATGATGCTACTGGAACATTTCACTGGAGAAGTGAACACAAGTATCTTCTAGTACTCAAAAGTAATCTGTCAATACTGACTCCTGAAGCCTAATCTTAAACATCACTGAAAGGTACAGAGTGACCACATGCTTAATAATTAAAACAATAAACACATGCTATTTAGAATTACACAGTAAACAGGGCTTACCCACTGCGACAAGGTTGCTATAGTTCTCCAGCATCACATCTCTATACAGAGACTTCTGACTGGGGTCCAGGTGCTGCCACTCCTCCTGAGTGAAACCCACAGTCACATCTTTAAACGATACCGATCCCTGAAATTTCTGTTCAATCTGAAATATTCAAAATTAGGTGAAATGGAAAAAGATACATGGGACAATAATGCTTACCACGATTATTGTTTATAGATAGATTACCAAAATAGTTTACAAAATATTTTGCTTTCTATTTGTACTCTGGGAGAAAAAGATACATAATAACAAATATTCTTTCATACATAAAGGTATTACTTCAAGCAAAAATAATTATCAAGTTCCCACAATGTACCTGGAACTATCATAGTTGTTGGAAATACTAACATTAATAAATCTTCACAATTTTAAAATAAATTTTAAAAATAAATAAATAAATAAATACCAAAAATGAAAAAATAAAATGAAATAAAAATCTTGTATTCAAGGAATATATAATCTGGGAATAAAATATAACAGATGTAGTAATGTGCTGCAAGTACTAAGGTAAAAGTACACAAAAGATAGACTAATATTACATATAAGGCACAGAATTAGTTCTCCTTTGATCTTTATTGAGAAAATACAGCTATTAAAGTATTACTATACTGTGTTCTTCATTAGCACAGGACCTTGGTACGAGCAAAGGCAGAGGAACTCTAACACACTCAAGAAATTGGCAAAAGGGCAAACAGCACAGGAGATGAGAATAGGGCCTAGTGTTATCATGAGAAAAAGGGCAATGAAAATATTCAGGGAATGGGTTATAGAGCAATTTGGGTCCAACAGTCTCCAAATAATTTGTTCATTTATCATTTTCAAGAATATTATTGAACACAACAAATTTATATTATAAATTATAGAAATATTGTATTAAAAATTATAGAAATCAATTGTCAATATAATTTTAATTTAATACTGATTTAGATTTTAAAATGTAGAAAGACAGCCTAATGTGGTATTGTACTGCAATACATATTTTAGCTACTAACCCTTCAATTTAGAGACAATAAGGATGTGTAGAAAATGGAAAAATTATGAAACTATTATACTTTAGTCTGTGAAGTATATAGGAGAAGATATACAATTGAATTAATCTGAACATCCTCTGGATGCATGTCTCTTTCAAAGATTACTTCTGTGGAAAAAGGAGAGTCAAGGAAAAGATGTGAGCATTTACTAAAAAAAAAAAAAAAAAGTTACCAGTTTATTATTTTTTTTCATAGAACTAATTCTCTAGAGAAAGGGAGGGAACAGGTAAAGGACAAAACAGCACCATTTACATAAACTACTGAAGTAAAAACTGGCATTCAAATAGACACTGATTATAGGAGACAGAGAGCCACAAAATGTGGTCACCAATTCACGGAGCAGGAAAAAAAAAATGTTTCCTCAGGTTATCCACATGAACAGCTGCACAGATAACAGAGTCACAATGTAAGCTAGAAAAATAGGACATGACAGGTCTTAAATATACTAAATTTGAAGCATAATATTAGAGGTCAAGAATGAAAAAAGGGTTTCAGAGACATTAATAAGTCAGTGGTTTCCGAAGCCTTAAAGAGTGAATCACGGAAGGTTCTCAGAGAACTGAGGAAAGAAAATAATCAAGAATAGAATCTGAGGGAAAATCGCTTTTGAAATGGCTTGCAGAGAAAGACTAGGCCATGAATACCATGAAGTAAACTTCTAAAAGGTAGAAATAAAAATAATAACGCACAGTTTTAAAAACTAAGAGATGATCATATGATCGTATCAGTAGATGCAGAAAAGGATGATTTTAAAAACTCTCAGCAAACTTAGAATAGAAAATAATTTTTTCAATGTGATAAAAGACATCTACAAACACAGCAAATAACATGCTTACTGGTAAAATATGAAAAGTGTTCAATTTAAAAACTAGGACCAAGATAAAGATATCTACCATCTCTAATTGTATTAAACATTTTTCTAAAGAGTTTAGAATAACAAGATAAAAGAATTAAGTATACAGAAAATCCAAATAAAAGTACAGAAACTGGTTATGAGTTCCATTTACCAAATCTTAGCTATTTCTAGTTAAGGTAGTATAATAAGGCATAAAGAGTCTCCAATGTATTAATAGAGGGTAGAGCCCCAAAACAGACCCACATTTATATGGCCACCTGATTCATATCAGGGGTAACAGAAGAACAATCATTTCAATAAATGGTGCAGTTTAATTATAATGAATATTTATTATCTTAAATGTAGGCAGAAATTCATTTTAGATTTTTAAAACAAAGCAATAAAAATTTTAGAAAATGTTATAAGAATTTTTTCTTCATGACTTCAGGATAGGCAAAGACTTCTTAAACAGGACACAAATTATATTACTCTTCTATTAAAATTAAGAGTCATCTAACCAAAAGGCAGAAAGAGAATAAAAATACAACCCACAAAGTAGGATAAGCTATTCAGAATGCATATATCTGACAAAGAACTCCTGTCCCTGGCATGAAAAGAAATTATTCCATGCATCCCTAGAATCATTAGGATAAATAAGTGGGGGAAAATAGAGAAGCCCATCTCAATAGCAAAACTGACAGCAAGCATTTCAATAGAAACTATGGAAATGAGAAGACAGTGGGCAAAAATTTGAGCAGGTAATTTGAAATTAAGAAAATCAAAATTGATGTGCAAGACCTTTACAATGAAAATTACAAAACACTGCTCAAAGAAATCAAAGCTGACACGAGCAAGTGGAAAAATATCCCATGCTCATGGATCGGAAGAATCAACATTGTAGAGATGTCCATCTTACCTAAGGCAATCTACAAATTCAATGCAATACCCATTAAATTACCAACAACATTCTTCTCAGACCTAGAAAAAACAACACAGGAATTCATATGGAAACACAAACATCCAAGAATAGCCAGAACAATCCTCAGCAAAAAAAACAAAGCAGGTGGTATCACAATGCCAGATTTCAAACTTTACTATAAAGCTACAATCATCAAAACAGCTTGGTACTGGTACAGGAACAGGCATATAGATCAATGGAACAGAATTGAAATTCCAGAAGCAAAACCTCAATTCCTCAACCAACTCATCTTCGACAAAGCCCCCACCACCTACCAATGGGGAGAGGAGAACCTATTCAGTAAATGGTGCTGGGAAAATTGACTGACCACATGCAGAAGATTGAAACAGGACCCCTATCTATCCCCATGCACAAAGGTTAACTCCAAATGGATCAGAGACCTAAATGTAAAACCTCAAACCATAAGAACCTTAGAAAAGGAAGGAAATACTCTCATGGAAATCGGAACTGGCATCCAATTCCTGTACCAAAACCCGAAACCCACAGGACTTAAGAGAGAAGCTAGACAAATGGGACCTTATTAAACTGACAAGCTTCTGCAAAGCCAAAGAAACCATCAAGAGAGCAGGGAGACAGCCTACAGACTGGGAAAAAGTCTTTGCCAACTCTAGGTCTGACAAAGGCTTAACATCCTGGATCTACAAGGAACTGAAATGTACTGAAAAGAAGAAAACAACCCCATTATAAAATGGGCAAAAGACATGAACAGACACTTCACAAAAGAAGACATTCGAGCAGCCAACAAACACATGAAGAAATGCTCAACCTCACTAATCATCAGGGAGATGCAAATCAAAACCACACTGAGATACCACCTAACTCCAGTCAGAATGGCAATTATCAACAACTCAAAAAATAACAGCTGCTGGAGAGGGTGTGGTGAAAAGGGAACACTTCTACACTGTTGGTGGGAGTGTAAACTAGTGCAACCTCTGTGGAAAGCAGTGTGGCG